AGGAGACATTAGCAACAGAACATAGTTTTCAGATGGGGAAAAGGGTTGAAACGCCTTCAACTCCCCATTATGTTAAGAGAGACAAGGGGCTCAAGTTTGAGAGATTCGGACTAAGAGGGTTTTGCAGTAATTTCACAGAAAACAAAACAATTTCAGTCGATTGCTCCTAGATCAGGTAGAGCAGTTGGAGAAAGAATAGTATGTCATACATGTGGAATAGTACACCAGGGAGTATGTAGACTACTTAGTGGAGCTTGCTTCCTATATGGTGAGACTGGTCACTTTGCTTGAAATTGTCCAAATAAATTTGGGGACAATTTAATGCAATCTGAAAGATCTATGGCAACATCTAATAGAAACAGAGGAAGTGGAAGATCAAGAGGGCGAGATGAATCATTGCAGCGACAAGAGACTCGATGAGTCGCTATAATCTATAATATTACGACCAATGAGGATCTGGATGATCCATAAATTTTAACAGGTACTTTTCATCTTTGCATGAACTGGTATTGATATTAGTTGACCCTTGATATATGCACTTATACATTAGTACAAGGTTAGCTAGAGCTAGAAGAATTCCTCTAGAACCAATCTTGAGCATAATGATAGTTGTAAACCATAATGGGTTATGGTAAAAGTGTGAGTAGAAAGGTAGTAGACAATTAATAAAGATTCCAGGGACTATGTTCTGGGTAAATCTTATGGAATTGCAAATTGTTGAGTTAAGATCATTGCTAAAAGTGGCATTGATAATCATTGTGAAAAGAATGATGTTTGGGTAATGTAATAGATACTAAAATAAGAAAAATAGGATTGTCTGATCATTTCATCAAATTGGGAAATTAGAGATGTCTTTTTAGATCAATATCTTGGGTTACCTCTAGATCGAGAGATGGAATTCAAAGTAATTGCTTATTAGATTATTGAACATGTTTATATGATTTAGTATCACAAGAATCAAGAGGAATTATCTACGTGTGATTTAGAGTCGATAATAGTCGAGTTGCCTTAAAAGATTTGACGTTATTATCGGTATAATGAGTGATACTATAGTGGTGCTAATCACACGAGCCTTAAATACTTGCGGAAATTGAAGAGAGTGAACATGAGACAGAAAAGATATTCAGAATCTCTAAAGGTGTATGAGGTGATCACTGATTATATTACAAAAGAAAGATGAAAAATTTCTGAATAAGAATGTTATAAGTAGAAAATGAAGAATTAAGGACTTTTGGGGGGTCATGTTAGAAAAATGTTCGTATTATTGTGGGATATTTTATATGTCTGATGCACTATTAGAGGAAAAGTTGAATATTAAGTATTTTCTAAATTGTTACAATCAATCTTGATTCAGGAATGAAAATTGGGTTATGGGGATATAGAGATTCGATTAAAAGTGAATCATGAAAAAGAATCAATGAATATCTGAATTAGAAAAAACCAGAAAACATGTAATAAAATGATTCATATGGTTGAGGCATTGTGGTCAGTGACTAATTTGAAAGGAATTAAAGTTTGGAGGATTAAATTGAGTAACTGGTAAAGAATAATAAATGATTTAAGTAAGACCAATTTGTAAGAGATAGTTTATTGAAAGGACATTTTGGTCTTTTAAGTGTAATGAATTTAAATCCTATTTAAATTAGGGATTTAAGAAAAGAGAAAAGGGGAAAAACTTATTTCTCTTATTCTTATTCTTCGCGTGCAAGGACCATCCTCCACAGCTCAAAGGTAAACTTCAATTTAATCAGTTTTTCCTTTCGATTATGGGTTGTTTTTACAACCTTAAGTGATATGTAAGCTAAAGGGAGGGTTAAATAGGATTAAAACAAAGGTATGGATGAAATATTAGAGATTTAATAAAATGGGTTTTTAAATGAGATGTTAATATAAAAGTGTTTATGGAGGTTTTATGGTAGATTTGACTTGTCATAGAGGTAAATGAGAGATTAGAAATATTAGATGGGATAAAGAACATTTTAGAAAAAGAGGTTTGATTCTTAGAATTGAATATTCTTGAATGATTTTAGATGTTCTAAGAGGCTAAATGAAGGAATGTTAGTATAAATAGTTAAGGAAGAGTTTAATGGTATTGTATGGTGGTTATATAACGAAATTTAACCTCATTTGGGTGATTTTCGAGCTAAAAACTAGCAAATCTAGGCGAGGGTATCGGTATTACTAAGAACAGTACCGATACTATAGGCTAAAATGAGGTAAATTAGATGAGAAGTATCGATACTGATTCAATCAGTATCGATACCGATGAGGCAGTATCGATACTATGATAAGGGGTATCGATACCCAACAACATCGAATCCAATTTTGGTATCGATACCGGTATGGGGTATCGGTACCATAGTAGGATAGTATCGATACCATGGTAAGGGTATCGATAATAGACAACATCAAACTTATTTTTGGTATCGATACCCAAAGGGGGTATTGGTACCATAGTATAGAAGTATCAGTACTAGGGTAGTAGTATCAATACTATGGAGCCAAAAATGTTAAAATAGGCCGATATTGGTATAGAAAGATATTAATATGTTCTTTTGAGTATTGTTTAAGTATAATGGTTAGAAAGTATTCTAACATTGGGTATGATACATGTTTTATGAATGCTTGAGTAGATCAGAACCAAGCTCCCGAAACAAGTAAAACTAAGGGCAAAAGCAAAGTATTAGAGTAATCAGCCTTATATTTGGGATACATCGTAAGGATAGTCAGGTGAGTACATTTAATTATGTACGTGTATGTTATAATAGTCATATTGTTAGGAAATATTGATGTATGTATGGTGATTACCAAATGGCATTAAGTGTGCTAAAATGATAAGAAATTCATACTAAGGGTATGAATTTCAGTATAGGGCACTTCGTGTTCTAAAAGGTTGAGAAATTCATACTAAGTGTATGAATTTCCTTATAGGGCACTTGGTGTGCTAAAATGATGAGAAATTTATACTAAGTGTATGAATTTCCGTATAGGGCACTTCGTGTGCTAATATGATAAGAAAATCATATTAAGTGTAAGAATTTTTGTATAGGAAATATATATACGAATATAAGAAGTTTATTATAAGTAAGTGAATTTACGTATTGGTATTGGTTATGCAACTCACGTAAATTATAGTAAGGGTTAAGAAATGACGTATTTGCACTACCAATGTAAACTACAGAGTTTATAATGAGTTTAGAGAGTTTAGTGATTTTTTTATATAAACAATTATTAAAGTAGAAATTCTTCTAAAGTTAAAAGATTTGAAGCCTAATTGTGCATATGACAGAAAGGTGTTATTTATGCCAGTTAGATGAAAGGCTAAGTGCCTTTGAGGCCTAACTGTGCATATGACAAAAAGGTGTCATTTATGCCAGTTAGATGAAAGGCTAAGTGCCTTTGAGGCCTAACTGTGAATATGATAGAAAGGTGCCATTTATGCCAGTTAGATGAAAGGCTAAGTGTCTTTGAGGCCTAACTATGCATATGATAAAAAGGTGTCATTTATGCCAGTTAGATGAAAGGATAAGTGACTTTGAGGGCTAACTGTGCATATGACAGAAAGATGTCATTTATTCCAGTTAGATGAACAGTTAAGTACTGTTGAGTAAAAGAATAGTAGCCTAACTGTGCAATAGGCAGAAAGGTGTCATTTATACTAGTTAGATGAACGATTAAGTACCGTTGAGTAAAACAATAATAGCCTAACTGTGCAATTGACATAAAGGTGTCATTTATGCCAGTTAGATGAACGGTTAAGTACCGTTGAGTAAAACAATAATAGTCTAACTGTGCAATTGGAAAAAGGTGTCATTTATGCCAGTTAGATGAACGGTTAAGTACCGTTGAGTAAAAGAATAATGGCCTAACTATGCAATTGGTAGAAAGGTACCAATTATGCCAGTTAGATGAACGGTTAGATACCGTTGAGTAAAAGATGAAAAGTTAAACAATGTTGAATAAAAGAATGTTAGATTAGATGTGCATTTGACAGAAGAGTGCAGAATATTCAAGTTAAATGAAAAGCTAGATACTTTGGGGTAGAAAAATAAAGAAATTGAAATGTAATATGAACGTCATATAAGTAATAGAAGGGATATAATAAAGGAAAGTGTGAACAGGACAAAATGGGCATGAAATGATGCTTAAATGAAAATACAAAGCGATGTAATAATAGTATTTAAGGTTTCAACATAATGAGTATAAAAGATACATGATCAATTGGCATCTTGGTGAAATACATGTATAGTAATTTCACCTTAAATGTACACTGGGAAAATAAAGAATAAAGGGGAAAATATACAGAAGGATAAGTATAATAGGCAAACTAAGAATAAATTCCATGATGGTACGAAAGAAATATGTTCTGACTGAGAAGGGCTTAACTAGTCACTATGAAAGTTGCAATTAAATTCTTTATTCAGTATTCATAAGATATTGAAGTATAATTGGAATACCCTAGTAGAATTATGTCTTGCAACGTAAATGCTTAACGTGTGTTTATTTCACGCGTAGGTAAAATCAAAGATTAGTGGCGTAAGGAGTGCAACAGTAGCAGCAACGTTCATTTATTAAGGTTGACCCATCAGAAATGTTAGGATACTTATTCCTTTTGAACTTAGTTGGCACGTAATTAAACTATGACAAATATTTTGTAATGTAATTATGTAAAAGTTTTAGTATGTTGTTTTCAGAAAATATCATATTTTATAGTAGATCGAATTGAAACAAATTTTTACGGGTTTTAAAATGACAAACATTTTTATGAAGTAATGTGACAGCTGTATCTCGTATACGGAAGGGTATACAGGATATGGGTGTTACAATAGTACCATGGATTTCCATATTCCTCTTATTCAATGCTATAGCAATGGGTCAGATAATCATAAGTCTGCATCTCAATGGCATCATGTTCGACTGTTCATTCACTATGAATGCTGCCGCCAAAGTAGACAAGGCATCTGTCATTTGATTTTCTTCTATGGGGAGGTAATTGAATGTCACATCTTCAAATTCTTCGATAAGCTCCATGACCAATTTATGATATTCCACCAGTTTGGGATATTTTGTTTCCCTTTCTTCCTTGAGAGTTGATAAATTACTAAAGCTGAATCCCCATATACTTTGAGTATTTTTACTTCACATTCAATGGAAGCTTTGATACCAAAAACAAAAGATTCATACTCATCCATGTTATTTGTGCAATCGAGATTTAGTTGGCTGGTGAAAGGGTAGTGTTCTCCATTATGTGAGACCAGAATTACCCCGATTTCATACTCCAATGTGTTTGAAGCACCACCGAAGTTCAACTTCCAATGTCCATTGCTAGAAGTAGACATTTCTTCCACCGAAATAGCTATTAAATCTTCATTTGAGAAATCAAAACTCAGTGGCTCATATTCTCCGGAAGTCCTGCTTGTTATAAAATCTGCTATAGCACTCCTCTTAACTACTTTATGGATCACATATTGGATGTTAAACTCTGAAAATAGAATCTGCCAACAAGCCAATCTTTTGGATAGAGCAGGCACGTCCATAAGATATTTCAAATGGTCAAGTTTGGAGATCATCCAAGTGGTGTAATACAATATATATTGCTTGAGCCTTCGGGTAGCCCAAACCAAAGCACAACACAACTTCTCGATTAGCGAGTAACTTGCCTCACAATCAATGAACTTCTTACTGAGATAGTAAATTGCTCTTTCTTTCTTCTCGGTATGGTCATGCTTTCCTAGTACACACCCCATCGAGTTCTCGAAGACTGACAAGTAGAGGATTAATGATTTTCTTGAGATAGATGGCACCAAGATTTAGGCATTTGACAAATATTGCTTGACTGCTTCAAAAGCTTCTTGACAATCATCACTCCATACCTCTGAGTTATTTTTGCGAAGGAGGAAAAAATGGGGTCACATTTCTCGGTCAACTGTGAGATAAATCGAGCAATGTAATTTAACCTCCCTAGAAACCCTCGAACTTCTTTTTGTGTTTGTGGGGGTGGTAAATTTTGAATAGCCTTGACCTTGTTTGGATCTATTTCGATTTCTTTTTTGCTCACTACGAACCTCAAGAGCTTCCCAGATGTTACCCCGAAGGTACATTTATTTGGGTTGAGTTTCAATTGGCACTTCTTTAGTCTCTGGAAGAGTTTCCTCAAATTCTCAACGTGTTCGTCCTCCTTAGTGGCCTTGAAAATCATATTTTCGACATAAACTTCTATTTCTTTATGCATCATGTCATGAAACAATGTTACCATGTCTCTTTGGTAGGTTAACCCTACATTTTAAGCCTAAACGACATCATATTGTAGTAAAATATAGCCCACATGGTGACAAACGTAGTCTTCTCCATATCTTCAGGGTGGATCTTTATTTGATTGTAGCTGGAGAACCCATCCATGAATGAAAACAAGACACAATATTATCCACCAGGGTATCTATATGTGGCAAAGGGAAGTTGTCATTCGAAATGGCTCTATTGAGAGCTTGTTAGTCGACATACATACAAACCTTCCCATCATTCTTCGGTACTGAGACGATATTTGCCACTCACTCAGGATATTTGGCTACTTTGAGGAATCCAACATCAAATTACTTATTTTCCTCTTCTTTAATTTTTAGCAGTATTTCGGGCTTCATCCTTCTAAGCTTTTACTGCACAGGTCTGCATTCTGGCTTTATTGGCAACTCGTGTACCACCAATTTTATTTCCAAACCAGAAATGTCTTCATATGACCAAGCGAATACATCTTTATATTCTCGGAGCAGTTCAATCAAATTCCGTCGTCCTTTAGCATATAGGGTGGTTCTAATTTTTACTTTTTTCCTATCCTCATCTGATTCTAGGTTTAAAATTTTAGTAGTCTCTTTATGAGGTAGAATCTGCTTATCCTCATTTTCCATCATTTTTAGTAGTTCATAAGGTAAGACACATTCCTCATCATTATCACAACCCTCGACTTCCCCCTGACATATGGGCAGCTCGAAATAAATCTCCAGGTCAATGTCATCAGCATTCATGTTATTGATATATGAGGTCTTGAAAGAATAATGAGCAAGAATATATATACATATACACATACACATACACGAGAATCTATCTGATATCAAAATAAATAGAAGAAAATAATATAAATAATAAAGAATGAAGAAATGCATGGGAGAATGTTTTACCACTTTACGAATTAATGGAAATGCATCTTTCCTTGAAAGGTTAAAAACATATAAGTTAACCCTTTACATAAGATCTCCTACTACCCCGGGTTTAGGCAGCAGGAAAATTTTTCGCGTATTACTCTGAAATAGATTTGTAAAATACAAGGAATTCTTCACCAGTCTAATTGTTTAGCACAAAGCCTGGTGGAGCGGGATAGATTCCTGCAACCATTCCTTCTTCAGATTCATCGCCTAGTATGGCATTAAAACTTAGGTCTCTCAGTACGTTCTCAATGATAAGATCCTTGTCTTGTTGAATCCTTTGGAACATATCTCCTCCAGACATAAATGTGTCATGCAATGAAGGGAAGGTCATCGGCTGCTAGCAGAGGTCTTCTCCAGCTAACTTCGTTTTTCTCATTTCTTAGCTTTTCTTGATGCCACTTAGTTTTTCTCTCAGAGTCGATTGATATCCCAAATCAAAGTGATCATTCTTGGTGATGGGGAAAAATGGTTAATAGCTCCTTGTAAACGGCTTTATACCCCATTCCCAGCCTTAGCCCCTCTTCCTAAAGTCAACTTTAATCTCATTCGGGTGCAGTTGGATAACATGGGCTTAGATATCATTCTCCCCTCAGGCATGAATGTGGAATTGATGAATTCCAGGGATCTGAATAAGCATTCGATGACATCCTCATCTACCTCAACGTAAGGAGCAGTGGTGGAAATATAAAAGATAATATCCTCTTCGGCATTAATACAGATCAGCCTCCCTTCGATCACAAACTTAAGCTTCTAATGCAGTGTGGATGACACTACCCCTTCCTGGTGGATCCATGACGTTCCTAATAGGAAGTTGTAAGTAGACATGATATCTATGACGAGGAACTCAACCTCATAGGTAGACGGGCCAATAGTTAGGGGGAATTCAAGATAAAATATGTTCCTCACATCTGATGGTGATGTGCAAAGCTTTGTGGTTGCCCATCATCCCGGAGAGGATGTCATCATTAGAAAAGGAAATAAAATTTTCTGCTTGGATGTTCACAACCAACCTATCCAGCTTGTCTACATGTACATCCTTAGGCACAAAATTCTAATTTAAAACTTTTAAAAGGGAATCTCGGTGTGCCTTGGAGCTAAATAGAAGGGCGAGGACTGAGATGTGAGCGGGCAACTTGTGCAGCTGTTCGACAATGCTGTATTTGTTGTGTTTCAAGAATTTCAAGAACTCCACAACATCTTTCTCAGTCACATGTTCGTTAATGATTGGCTCATCCTCTTTTAGTAGTCTGTCAACCTTCTTCTCTTTATCAACGGTAGATCTTTTCTCGGGCTCTTTAGTCCGATTCGGAGAGTAACTCCTCCTATTTTTGATAAAATGGCCTACTTCACTTACTTCTTGTTCAACAATATCTGATGCTCTCACGTTATATGTCTTACACTCATATCTTCAAGGGACTTGTTTGTTGTCCTTATAAGGAAATGGATACGGGGCATAATTATCACATTTGTATTTATTTTCTCTTCCGGACAAGTTTTCAGTGTGATGATTAGAGGACAACTAGCATTGTAAATCCCCTGGACGAACATTCGGATGCACAAATCTCTCATTCTTCTCTTTCATCAGTTTCTCGATAAAACTCTATTTCTTTATCATCCATCATTCTTTGTACTAGAGTTCAGAATTTAGGACAACATTGCAGGGTGTTTCCATCGCAGTTATGATATTGGCACACATCCTCATTAACACTTTTCATAATCTTCTTCCCATTTTCCTTAATAATGGCATTGACTCCTGAACCTGCTTGACTTGGCAGTGGGTTTTAAACCACGTTCGGTTGCTAACTATCACTGAATTTAATGACATTCTTTTCCCTAAATCTCTGGATAACCTTTTTAAAGGTAGTATAATTCTCTATTGAGTGTCCAAGGACCCCTGTGTGATACTCGCATTGGGCATTGGCGTCATACCATTTGGGATATGGGGGTGGTAGAGGCGACACATGGAAAGGAAAAACCATATGTCTATCATATAGGGCCTGGAATAATTCTTTATAAGATATAGGGATCAGGTCAAACTAAGGTTTCTCTCTTTCTTGCCTTAGCTCCCTTTCCCCCTACTTGGAAGGACCCTATGTGGATAAACTTATGGCTTGAGGTTGAGACACATTAATATTGTTAGAGTCATATTTCCTCACGTTGTTGACCTCGTTATCCTTCTTTCTCATTGGTTATTTTTTGTAAGACTCACCTCTATCGAGTCTCCCATTTTTAACTTCCATTTTGATTATCTCTCCCGCATTAACTACATTAATAAAACTTCTTGACAAATTCCCTATGAGGTGGCCCATAATTGGAGCTCTTAAAGTGTTGATAAAAAGAAAATTGGTTTCTTCTTCCTCTAACGACAGATGAACATGTACAATCACATCCCTCCACCTTTGAGCATACTGTCTGAAGCTCTCATTAGATATTTTCTCCATGATTTGCAACATGATTCGATAGGCCTTACATCTTTCACGTGTTTATATTGTTCTAGAAAAACTTTAGCTAAATCCTTCCACGACTTGATGTGAGCCCAGCTCAATTGGTTATACCATCGAATGGCGGAGCCTACTAAGCTTTCTTGGAAGCAATGAATCAACAATTGATCATCCCCTACATAGCCAATCATTTTTCTACAAAACATAGTAATGTGAGCAGAGGGGCATCTCCTGCCATCGAATTTTTTAAACTCTGGCATTTTGAACTTGGGAGGTAACACCAAATCAGGAATCATACTAAACTTTTTAGTATCAATCCCATACATGTTATTGTCCTCCTTCATAACCCTAATTTATTCTTCCAATTATTTCTATTTCTCTTCTAATTGTTTGTTCGACTCTTTTCTACCCTCATCGTCAAAATCTGAGACATCTTCAGCTTGTTGTTGGTTTATGGAGGTACCAAGTAAGTTTATGTGCACCCTTCTTGGATGAACAATCGCTCCTTGTTGTATTATAATATGAGGCGGTGTAAAGCCTAGAGGGTATAGGGGTTCTTCAGTAGTAACACCAACAACCGAAACCTTTCCACGATCTGCCAGTGGTGCGAAATCCGAGGGGTATAGAGGTTATTTGGCAGTAGCACCGACATTTGGAGTCTCTTCTTGATCTATATTTCTCTCTTGTAGCATGCTTGCTAACTACTCCATCAGATCATTCTGGGATTTCAGTATTTGTTCACGTGTCTCCTCTTGAGCTTTCTTGAAACTCTTCTACATTTCGAGCTAGGTTCTCTCAATTTGAGCAATTCTCTCGTCCATTGCCTTTTTTCGGGTATTATACGAGTGCTTAGAAGTTTCCAGTATTTTGTAGTGTACTCTTTATTGCTAATTTCAATGGTTTGATGATGAATATAAATTATACATAAATGAAATACTAAACAAATAACTGTAAAAACACAAATAAAATGCAGAGAACAAAACTTGAACGATAAATACAGTGCGAATTCATGCAGAAAGACATTGATTAAAAAAAGTGATCAATCTTAGAACAACTTGTTGAACCACTTTTTATAATATTTTGATATAACAAATTAAGGAAAAATTT